CTCATTTCAAACAGAGTTTTGTTTTTCTTGGCATCTTATTTTGTGGCAGCTTTCCTGCCTATAAATTATGGATTTTTATTTATTTTTTAATGGGCAAGTGCAAAATCTCATTAAAACAAAATCTACCTGTGCTGCTGATAATATTACACATTATTGAATCTGAAAGAATTTTTTAAAATCTCATTTACTCTTCAGTAATTTACCACTCACACAATGGATGTACTGGAGAATAAAATTGTCTGTGGTTACCTGGGATGTTGTGTTTTAATGGGGTTTTGTAACACAAGAGGTGCTTGGAGAGGTCTGCAAGCAAAAGTTTAATTCGTTTCATTTCAACAAAATGAAAAAAAATTAGAAGAATTTAATCAATATTAGAGCCTGTGAAAATGTGTTCTACCTTCCCTCCCCAAAAACCCTAAATTATCTGAAATTAATAGAGGCAGCTGCGGTGCTTGAGAGAGAAAATCTCTGAAATCAGCTTTTAGTAGCAGATATAACAGAAGAACTATCTCAGTCCTTCCAAGTGTAATATAATGGCATCCAACACAAGCTGTGAACGGAAATGGAAATTCAACCTTAGGCCCAATCCATGTAAACTCCTAATAGGTCTCCAGGCAGCAAGAAACCCATAGGATAGGCTTGGGCTTTAGAAAGTGTTGGGCAGTGCTATGGGTAGCACAGAGGATGTACAGGACAGCAGTCACCTCACTCCTCCAAGCTGCAGCCCAATGTGATGAGATACATGCAGAAAACAGGGAGAGCTTTAATACCTAACATTTGGGACACCATGGTGTCATGAAATATGAATCTACTATAAATTATGGGCGATGTTATTCTGTGTGCTCGGAGAAGGGACTGCATAGCTTTCAAGTAGGCTGCTTGACTCTGCTTGCGGTTCCATATGGAATTAAAGCTACAGGAGAACAATATGCCCATTTTAGGTTTTATATCTCACACACAGATGATCTCATTACAAGGTCAATTTTGTGTACATTGTGCTCTCATGGATTGTCTGTGTTTGCTGGTAAGTTCATTTTCTGGTTCATCAGCTTTTGCTTCCAAGGGATTAAATGTCCCTTACATCTCCTCAAGAAATATGACAGAGCGTGATTACATCTGGATGAAAAGGATGAATAAATGGAATGGCTCTTATCTTTCCCTCTCTTATTTCTGTGTTTCCCAGCAGGTACACATAACAGCAACTAGCTGCCAGTGCAAATGGGCATGAGATCAGAATCGGCCCACTGGAAAATTCTGCTCTCCCCAGAATGTCTGAGGGCAGGTAGGTGCTGCTGCAAATCCAGTGTTTGCAGTAGAGCAAGATGTTATGGAGCATATTTCCCTGTGCAGAAGGAGATAGCATCCAGGATGATCCTGTGCAGTCAGGTTCCTAATGTAGGCACAGGAAAGGTGAAAAACAGATGACTTTATATTAGAGTTTCACTATTGCTCTTTCACATTAGGATTCTCTGACAGGCCTGAGCTTTGTGCCACGCTGGATTCTGTAAAGAATAACAGTTGTTCTCAGGCAGGACTTAGGGACATCCAGTTCTTTCTTTTGTAAACTGACTATTCCAAGGGAAGAAGGGTAAGAACTTTTGGACAGAACTGGCTCTCCAACAGCATGGCAGGTCAGATCTGAAGTTCTGCCCAAGCGCTGACGAACTCCTCAAGCACTTTGTCTGCCAGGAAAAAATTACTCCTGTCCAATTGTCCTTCCATTCCTGACACCAATAATCATCACTTTGTGTACTACCCACCAGTCAGTGCTGGGCATGACAAACAGCCATACAAACACATTCAAAATAGACAGAACTACAACAGGTTCTCTGTTGTGTATCTATGGACAGTATACCCCAGTGCATTACACCACGGGATCAGTAGGGCCCTAAGAGCTGCTGTTCCTTTGCAGAGGGAGCAGCAGGGCCATCAGGCTGTCCCCTATCCCATCTCACAGGCATGATTGTCTGCTTCCAGCAGCTGAAGCACAGCACGGACAGGGCTGTGGAGGCTGCAGATAGAGCCAGAGAAGGCCGCTGTTAACATAAGTCCTGCTTTTCTGCCTAGAGGCAGTGAATGGCAACACCCAGTCTTTGCCTGAGTACGTAGCTCAATGCAGAGCTGAGCTATGTGTAAGCGAATTCATGTTTTTGCAACCTGCACAGGTTGTATTCACAGCACTCTCAGCACCAAGGTCTCCTTATTGGAGAGAAGGGTATCTCATGAACACACTCTGCTTGAGAATAAAGCGTTGTTATCTTTTGTTAAGAATGCTATTTAGAATCAGTCTCTTGCCTATATTAATAATGACACACTAATTGAATCTGGAAACTCATTGCTTAAAGGATTCAGGGTTAATAGCAGCACAGGGTTTGCTTCTGCTGCTGGCAGGTATTGTCTGAGCTCTGCTGTTAACAGCAGAAAGCTTCACCTCCATCCCTTAACTCACTGCAGTGCTAGAGGGGAAGGCCTACAGAATCTGCCCTGAAATGTTGTAGCTAGAAAGAATTTTCAGAAATCCCTTTGCCTCTTCCTTTCTGAAGGAGTTATTTCTTGGACAAAGATTGGGCGTGGATTTTGTTGTCCAAAAGTGCACATGAGGATAAGAAATGAAAAATTTATCATCTTTCTGTTCCAGGTTGCCACTGGTGCCTGGAGTCGATCACCAGGTAGTGGGGAAGGTGAGATGGGGACACTTTTTCACAAGCTAGCCCTTGTCAAAGTATTGGCAGCATATTTTTAAACCAGACATGATTGTGTGCCAATGGTGCACAAGGCACGAAGAAGGCTATGTCAAAACCTTTACAGACCATGCTGCTTGTGTTTGTCTTAGGAAGTTGTGTACATGACTCCCGTGGTTTAACAGACACTTAGACCACTCTTTTCTTTCCCCTCTATAATCCAATGGGATTTTTCAGTCACTCTGTTAGGTACCTCAAAACAACTTAATCCGAAATCACCTCTTCACAGAGACCTCAAACATCCACCTCGTCTTCATAGTTCTGGAGGCAGCAGCTCTCTAACATGTCTTGGCAACAGGTTATGTGTTCATTGCATTTGAAACCTGGTGTGTTCCCAAAGGAGCTGCTCTCAAAAAAGGCAAGCCATCTGTCCCTTCTTCTGGTGCTTTTTCTCTTTCCACATCCACATCTTAAAGTAGAAATAATGTTTTCAACTCAAAAGCGTAATTTAGTCTGTAAACTTTAGATTTGTAATGATTAAATCTAGTTTAAGCCAGACAGTGATGTTTTTTTCCCTTACTGCTGATAGGAATTCCTTCTTCATGTGGCTAACGACTTGCACATGCTGCTTTGGCACTTGCAGTAGTATGGTGTATTTTATCACCACCAGCCCTCAGATCTGGACTCCTGCTTTTCCCAGCCAGATCTGCCATCACTTCCAAGAGCCATTCTGCTGAATTGGCCTCTCACTCCCAGGGAAATTTCTATTGCAATATGCAAAATAAATGTGGGCAGTGTAAACAAAATGTTGCAAAATATTGCTTTGATTAGCAAAGTGCTGCAAGAATGCACCGGAGAGTCTGTTACGTACGTAGGCAACAGCAGTGAATAGCAGTAAAACAAAAACATTATTTCATTTCTCTGCAGAGACCCTGCTTGTGAGCAGAACCAAGGCCATGCTGCTGCCTGACTCTGTGACCAAGAAGAAATGAGCTCAGATGAGATGCTGCAGCTCCACACCAGGCAAAGCAAGCTCTATGAATAAGGCTTTTCTCACTGCAGAGTAAGGGCATAAGAAGCCCAGAACATACAGGAACTGTTGGGCACATTTGGAAGAAAAGGTGGCAGAGAGCAAATTGTACAGCCTTTTACTTCTGACACCCTGAGGGATTGGCACATTTAATGACAGCAGAAATACCTGTGGAGATGGGGTCCTCATGGCTGCAGTAGGTGGAGGGACAATGTGGTGCTGGTAGCTGGCTGCCCAGCTCTCCCACCAAAGGTGTCCTCAAAGGAAGGCCCAAAAGCCCATCCATCGATGTTCATCCATCCAAGAGCTGCTCAGGCACAGGTCCTGCTGGCTGCAGGGACTGCCTTGCTCTGAAGGGTTCAAAAATGTTACCCCCAATTCCATTCTACATATTGATTTTCCTACTGATTTGCAGTGGTTAAAGTTGTACAAGTTTTTCTTTTTTATTTTCCCCATCAGCTTCAACTTGAAATGAATTTGGTGAGCATCATACTTCTGACATCTTGGCAGGCAGAAGCATTGGATCTTACATGCTTCTCCTTGGGGCTCTGGCTGATGTAACTCCATTGTAATATCGTAGACATACAACACAATTCATTTCCATATATACATATACAGGCTCAATGAACTGAAAATATATGCATAGGCTCATTGAATTTATGCTGGTTTTGAAACACATTTGTCCTTCCTACCAACACTCAAAGCTTCACAGTTGGCCAAGCACATTCCTGCAGTGTTGTTAGCCTACAGATTACTTTAACTTGTACTTAGCTGAGCCATAATTGCTTTACCCTCATTGCTTCCATTACAGCATCTGATATGATTAGCTACGCCATTAATTATCTTGTACTTTAACTATGAGCCTCCTGCTGAAAACCAAGGAAAGGTCAATGCACATATAGAGAAAATCCTGCCCAACAAGATGCATTTATCAGCAAATTAAGCACATTACACATTCAGCACATGCATACAGTCCAAAGGATTTTGCTGGTGTGCTAATGATACCTGTTGTTTTACTAAGGATATCTGCTGCTGGCTAACACTGCTGGTCTCTGGACACTGGCTCAGATCTCCCACATGCTTCAGCATACAAAAATCCTTTATACTATACAACAAGTAAATCCAGTTAGACAACGCAAAAGATATTTGGTACATATCCCATTCAACACAGATACTTCTCAAGTGATGCTTGGATTTTGTTGATACACTGATTTGATTTTTCACCCTAACATTAGATGTGCCCCGTGGTCCCCTCACTTTAAGTAAGTTTAAGGAACAATCTCAGGCTGTGTCTTATAAATATTTTAATAAGTTTCATTTCGTTCATTTCAATGTAAATTGTCATCATCAACTTCTACTTCCATATGTATTTTTCACAAGTTGACACAACTTCTACTGCTCTGCCAACATCTGCATGATTTCAAACATGAGCAGCATGGCTGGAGGCGTGGAAACTGTTGTTTGAGTTTTCCCAAGTAGATGCCACAGACTGAGAATACCTCACACTCCCTATCCACATCAAATGAGAGAAAAGTGTTTCTTTCAGTGTATATACATACACACATCATACATAAGTATCTAGACGTGTATCTACACCTGTTAGCCCATACAGTCGCTGTCTCTGTTCAGCCACCAGTTTCTCTTCACAGCTTTCTCTTTGCAGTGCTCTCTAAGCAGGTTCTCTCCTTAGAGAACATCCCAAATCATTCAACAGATGTCATTATATTTCAATCAATACTGAAACTTGCACTGTGATCCCATTAGCAAAGGATCTTCCAGCAGCTTAAACCACATAAATGTGTACAAAGGATGGTCTGAAACTCATTATTGACAGGGCACAATACTTAAAAGCATCAAAGTCCCTTAAGAAATCATTTAGCCAAAATACCTTGCAGACAGTGCTGCCCTCATTAAGGATTTTTTTAGGTTATTTTCTTTTACATTATGTCTGAAACTTTATTTTTGCACTCAGTAGAACCATCATTATTTTCTCTACATCCAACTCCACAGAGAAGCTAAGGGGAAAAAAAAAACAAGAGAGAGAAAGTATTTGTCATGACATGGCTGTGCTCCTTTTTCCCTGAGGCTGCAGAAAGCCAAGATCTGTTTCTCCCTTAATTCCCTTCTACAACCTGCAACCCATCTCACTTGTGAGAACCTCCCTGGAGGCTTATGGGAAATTCAAAGCTGTACTCTTAGTCCTTCACAAGGATGGAAAAGTGGGGAAAGGACAAACATATCCAAACACAGACAGAGAAAATCATGAAGCTGCAAAGAGAAGAATAACCAAATGTTCCACTATGCCCAGAACAAGCCTTAGCTTAGGAAAACGTGACTTCTGGGAAGCAGGCTCCTGCTGGAGAAGCTCACAAGCAGTGTCTGAATCAACTCTTTCCCTACTCGTGCATTCAAAGCAGTCTGGGGCAAAATTATTGCTCTGCTTGCATTTCAGAGGCCATTTTAACAGGATGAAATTACAAATTATTTGAAGATTTTTGTGGCAAAAGGAGAAATACAAGGTCAACTGCCTTTTTTTTTTTTTTTTTTTTTTTTCCTTCTGCCAGATCTTTGTTCTTGTTATCATCCTTAAACAGACAACACTTCACATTTGATTGCCTGAATTTGTATGGATCTGAAGCCATTTTATTGACATATGAAAGATACTGCTTTTATAGCCTTCATGCATAAAGGAAGTCTGGAGAGCTCCAGGTTTTGAAAGTCATCAGGCAGAAAGCACCATTCGTCATGCATGTGGAGAGCTGCACTTTAGCTTCAAGGTGCATCACATGGGGTTCTCACACCCTCCACACAGCTTAGCTGAAGTGATTCTGCAAGCAAAATTGTACTAATGAACAAATCCATGCAGGTTATTGAACATTCTCACTTATTTGGGCTTTGCAACACAGCAAGGAAGGAAACAGAAAGGAAACAGAAGTTTTCTGTGCACAGGTTGCTTTTTGAGTTACCAACTCTGAAAAGAAGTGCATATGATACAAGACAGTCAAAGGGATTCTTGGGTTTTACTACAGCTTACAATGCAGCGAGAGCACAACGTTCACATAATTCCATTACTGGTCATAACCCTGTGCACAGGGTCAAGGAGGGCCTAAACAGCTCCTGGTTTTGATCCACCAGCTCCCAAGCAGCATTAGCAATGCTCAACTCTTCAGCCTCGTTCCCTGCTCCAGCTGGGAGGCAGCCAGGAGCTCAGTGGTACCCACAGCCCAGCTCCTGCTTTCCTTCCCCTCCTTCCTTTCACCATGGCAAACTGAGAGCTGCTCTTTGTCCATTCTTTAGAACACAACTGCTACCAATCAAAGCAAACAAAAACCTTCCTACCTCTGTAGAAATGAAGAGTAAACAGGTATGTTTGCAATTTTATTTACACCGGAGTAGATCTACTATCTTTTAGGAAGCGAATCCTGATTTACAGTTAGGAAAATCAGAGAGCAATCCAGAGCCAAGTTTGTATTTTATGCTAACAGGTGCTGTTACAAGAGTCTGGAAACAACCAGCAGGCTGCTCTTACTACATCAAAGCAAACTGTCAATAACTTACATGATTTCAATTAAAAGCAGATATGCCAAGAACGTATTGAGTACTGAAATCAGACCACGTACCTGGAGCAGGTATTTCTCATTTTTCATCAAGAATCCATGGAATGCCCCTACCTTTTTTGTTTAACATTTAGGGAACATATCCTAATTGAAAGTGCTGATAAAAAATAAATGCAATCTAAGAACACTTGCTTGGTCAGAGCAATGCTGCACTTCAAAGGGTGGCTCCAGAGTGCTCACTCCTGTTAGGTCTGAAGCCCAGCTCTCCACAGACTAACACTGTCACTGGCACCAAATGCTGAGAGTTAAGGAAAAATGGAATGCAAGACTTTATTATTCGTAACAAGAAACAAGACGACATACAGAGAGGAACTGGGGAAAACATTGTTATGAAAGTATCACTGTAGACAGAACTTGTAGCACATTTGTCATACTGCAGACACAAAGTTATAAATATTAATTTAACATTCACTGGGAAAAAAAATATATGTATCAGGACAACTCCAGAAGCAGTTACTGAAGATTTCAATACTATACAAAACGTCACATGGCACAAGCACAATTTGACTACACTGCTTTTACAAACAGAAGTGCTAGGAGAGGTTTCCAGAGGGAGGAAATGCTGCCAGCACAGACAACAGCTCCTGAAGCAGAGAGGCAGAAGTCAGCCCTCTTTGCTTGAGTTAGGCAGAAGTATTTTCAAAATAATTCTGTTTTCAGTGAAAGATTCAATTTCCTTCAAATGGGAATCTGTTGGAAAAGCAGTGCATTTCTTAGAGAGGCTCTGATTATGTTTTTTTTCCCCTTAGACTTCATTTATAAACATTTGCACTGGAAAAAAAACAAACAAACAATCAAGCCACAACCCTTTTTTTTTTTCTCCTCTATTTTCTGGTTATTTTTCTCACACAGAGTTATTATTCTTCATGCTATGTACTTTCTTTCCTTTGTTGGCTTGTTTTAGTTTTGTGCTTTTAAGATACATATATATTTTAATATATTTGGATTTACAGCACTCTGCGTGAAAGGAGATGCCTGGAAGAAAGTGTTCAGCCTTGAGAAGCCAACAGGAAAATCCCATTGTTGTCCTCAACTATCTTGTGAAAAGGTGCAGAGAGGACAGAGACAGACTGTCCTTGGAGATGCACAGAGAGGACAAAAGGCAGTAGACAAACTCTGCCTGGGAAATGACAATAATATATTAGAAAAATATCTTAGTAATAGTAGTCAAACATAAGAATAGAGCCCAGACAGGTGATGGATCATCATCCTTGAATAAGACCCTAAGCCACATAATTTAAGCTGGCCCTGCTTTGAGCAGGGGAGTTGGACTAAACCTCTCCAAAGGCCCCTTCCAACCTACTCTGTGATGAAATACAGATTTTTTGCTGTAAAGACCCATGGGAAGTATTTATAATTACAATAACTAAAGTATTTACACTAGAATGTGTATTTTACATATACTTAGAAAAAAAATACTGCATTTCAAAATGCATTTATTGCAATAGCAGAAGCAAGCAGTCAGTAGTAAAGTTAAGTTATTAAGAAAAGCCACAATTTGCATGTAAGCTGAAGCTAGAAGAAAGCTACAGAAGCTCAGTATTCAGAGACACAAACTCATGATTACATGCAACCCTACTCATCTCAACTTCATTAAGAGATGAACAGACTGGGCTGCTGATCTGGACCTAGATTATTATCTAAAGTCCATATGCTTCAGATGCCTGTACTTCCACTGAGTATTTTGAGAGATTAAACTGCAATGTCAAGGTAAGTATTTCAGTTCTCACAAGTGCAGCCTAGTTTCACTAAACTATCAATCATTTGACCAAAACGTGGTTTTAAACTGCTCTTTTCCAGAGGTGTGAACACTGAACTACCAGTAACAAACCTCTAACTTTCTTGAAATCAAAGGTTCATTTCTACTTTAAAACAAACAAACAACAACAAAAAAAAACAAACAGCAGAAACTTAAAAAGATCTTTATAAAATCTCTGCAACACTTACAATAGTAAGGAAAATTATTCTTGTTGCTAGTTTTTTGTAAATAGGAGCAGCTCTGTGTAATCTGTATTAAAGGTGGTTATAACTACAGTTCACGTTTTATTACTAAAAGGTGGACCAATAAACACGTCAAGAAAAGCAGATTATTGCTGTTTCTCAACAAGTCCTTTTTAACAAGGACGTTCTGCCTTGGTAGACAAAGCATGTTTGACAGTCAGCTGAGTTAGGAGGGAGAGAAGTAATGATTTGCATGCCAGAGAACTCCTCAGTGATCACTTTATATTTGGCAGCTGTACAATTTAACTGATTTATAAGACCAAAATCGTGTCATTCCATTCATCTCTTGAATGATGGGGCTGATCTTTTCAGAACTAAGTTTGCTTGAAGCGACACAGGAAGGCAGAATCCGAGAGAGTTCTGGACTGCAGGGAAAGTCTGATACTTATCCTGCCAGCTCTAACTATGCAAATAGCAGGTGTCCTTTGAAGCAGCTTTCACCAGGTCTGTCAGACCAACAGGGATGGCTGTGCAGAGAAAGCAGAACATGTATATAAGAAAAATGTGAAATATATCAAGTTTTGTATTCCTGTAGTAGCACTAAGAAAATGAGATATGCCAACATTCAATTCCAAGAGTATTCAAAAAGATCTATAAGAATCCATCCTCTTTTCTGATCAGTTTCTAAACACAAAAACCTCATGAAATGTACTTGTTTTGGACACAAAGAGGCAATTACAAAAAGAAAAAGCTTACAACTGCTCATAGGATGTCATACACTATACACTTCAATTAGCTACTAGATCCTTATGCTTCTAAGTTATCCTATTGTATTCAGAGATACTGGTAAAGATGCTTCGTTTGTAGCTGAGCTTTTAATATGTTGATGCATTCCCCCCAAAAGTGGAACATACAAAAGGAGTTACTACTTACTAAAAAGGAAAAGGGCATAGTGACTTAAATCTTCCAAGTTACACAGTGGAAGATACTCCTCTGAACATAAGGATAAATTTCTAGTGGTATCTATGCTTTAATAAAGAAGGACAACATTCTCATTTGCAAGAGAACTTTAAAAGGGTCTCAGCATTTTCAACCAAGTAATCAAAATAGATACAGGAGATGAAAACACTTCCACAAAATATGTCTTCTGTTCACATATTAGAGTTATATCAAACATTTCTTTACATTTCTTATATGAAGCCTTTTATTACTGTTACAAGAAGAGCAGCCTAAAGATGACCTAGAAATAAATCATGGTACTCATATAAAAGACTTTTTTTAATACCATAAGTATTATTGCAGTGAGTAGAAACAAACAAATCCTGGTAGCTACTCACTAATTGCTAGTGCAGCTGATTCTTGCATGTGATTTTAGCTCAGTTAACACTACTGACTCAGTAACTTACTAACAAAAACATCGTAAGACAAAACACTACACAAACATACTGTACAGCACTGCACCATAAATGAACCTTCATCATATCCAATATCACCAAGTTTTCCTATACTTCACTAAACATTCACTTAACAACTGGACTAAGAAGAAATAATATAATAGAGACCACATTTCAGAGCTGTGCTGGCAATTATCACCTCATATCAAGAACTCTGACATAAAATAGCTTTTCAGAAGGGAAGAGAGAGCACTTAAAGGTTTCTTCTGCATTTAAACATCTAGGAATTGTTTTTTCAGATCAAGATGACACTTTGCAGCTACCTCCTTCGTAATTTAAACTCCAGAGAAAAAAGGGAAAGTAAGGAGATCTATGCTGCAGCTGAGTTTGTTATGAATATGTGTTATCTTAGAATAAACTTACAATGCATCTATATACAGTGTATCTATGTATTCTATCTTACAATAGAATAAACTTACACGTATCTATGCATCAGTGTTGTGGCTGCTCAGGATTGATATTCATAGTCCTGTATATTTCTTTGAGAAACAGCAAGGCAGTGTCTTCAGATTCCCTATAAAGTATTACCAAAAAAAAAAAAAAAAAAAGTTAATTTGGCACGGATCACATTCTATACCCTTGGAAGGCACCCTTCACCCCCATCCCAGTTCATGCAGACTGTTCAGAGAATTATCACCCCAATCTCTTTTGGGAATGTGGCCTTTCTTCTATCAACCTCCTTTTTGAGTCACAACTCTGCATCAGCTTTACATTCCCTTTGCAATAAGCCAACATGCTTACCTTTTACTGCTGCATTTTCCTTTCTGTGTTCTCCCTAACTCTTACTACACTGCAGTTTGAAATCCCCTTCTCCATCCATTTCTTTGATGTCATTCATTTGTCTTAAAACAAACAGCCTATCACTTACTCCTGCCCAGTTCTATCAGCAATACTCTATTTTTCTGCTAATTGGTTTGTGCTTTCTTGTTGATAGGCTGTAACAAACATCCATAGCCATCTTCTGCACCTTACCTCCAAGGAAATGAAAGTATTTTTCATATCATTTAAAGACTAGTATAATTTAAGTGCCATGTTTCAAAATTGTTTTTACCAGCTCTTCTTAAAATCAAAGCTTCAGGCCATCTGAATTTAAATTCAGGAAAAAGAAGTGTCTGTGTTATGTCTATAAAGCGTTATATAAGCACAAAAACCAATACCAATCTAAGAGAATAACAACCACTGTAAAAACAAACAAATAACAACAACAACAACAAAAAAAAAAAAAACAGCAACACAATTCACCAGGCAAATTTAAATGAAGTTCTAAAGCTGCAGGAGTAGCTGCATAATGTAACAGCTTATGCTTTAAAAGAAACTGGACAATGGAGTTAGCAAAGACAACTTAGACAGAACTGCAACCCTCCAAATGCAGCGAGCATCTTTTACAGAAAACCTGTACAGCTAAACATGCAAGTCAAGGATCTACAGACATTTCCAACAGTCTACTATGGAGATAGCAACCACATTTCTCAGTGTTCTCTACTGAACAAACAAGCAAACAAGCAAGCAGAGGGATCAACATGGAAGCTCTGAACCCTGCAACACACAGACTGCTTTTTTTAAGGCATTTCTCACCACCTCCTGAGGAAGAAACAAACAAAAAAACTCACATATTTGGGTCATGAATAACCAAAAAAACCCAGACGTGGCTAGATATGCTTTTAAAATTCAGCAGTGACTGGCTGCCACCTTGTGGAATAAAGCTCCTTTCCTTCAGTTTTACCTGCAAAACAGCAGTGCCACCACTGGGTCTCTGCTTGGGAGCTCTGTCAGAGCAAACCAGTGCTTGGCTGCACTGCAGCTTTGATAAACCTTTCTGCAGGTAGTTAATGATCACTGAAGTTGTAGTATTACCAGATACAGCTTACACACCCTCTGTTCTACCATTCCATAATCTGTGTATTTTCACATGTGCTTAATTATAACATCATCCCTTTGAAACATAATCACTTAAAAAGCAGCAAGTTCAAATGCAGACATGGCAACAGCATAACGCAGGTCTACATGATGCCAAAATCTGCACCTTTTCTACAAGTTGTTCTGTATATGAGCAACCACTGTCTACAAGTGGTAGATCACAGTCATCCAAATGTACAGGAAAACCTGCTATGCCTTTTTCTTCCTATGCTTTGTTGAGCTTTAGCAGCACAGCATCAATATCTGATACTTTCACTTCAACACAAAGAGATAATTAAGTTTTACTATATACTGAAGTCTAATGCAGTTTCTTCACAGATAGTTTTACCTGAAAAGCTATAGATGGCAAAATGCTCATTAAGTTCTCCCTTTAAAAGGATTGTACTAAAGGTATGTGCTTTGACTTTCAAGGTTCAATAGACCAATATGCAACGTCCTGATAGCAAACAGGACTATAGAATTGTTTACACTGTGCAAATGCACACTATTGTACAATGAAACTAGCTAACAGGAAAATCCAGGTAGGACATCTTGAGAATGACATCCTTGAGTAACCATATATTCTGTCTGCCTCCACATTTGACTTCTCTCCATTATTTGATCATCCAGAATATAACAAATTCAACTTCACAATATAGCCTGAGTGGGAAGAAAACATCTTTCCAAATGGGAGACCATTTCAGAGTGAAGCGATGAGGACCTCTTACCAGTAGCACAAATGACTCTGTAAAGCAAAAAGGTATTCATTGAAGCTTTCTATTGGTTTTTCTTGTAGAACATAATCAATGCGTCGTCCTCCATTCAGCATTCCAACCTTCACTGTAAAATCCTCATCTTTTGGAAGGTCTGGACTTTCAGTGATCTTTTCAGCTACAATTAAAGATTTTAAGATTTTAACTATTTTCAAGCACAGCCTGCATAACTATAATTACCACTCATTTTCCCTGCTACAATTTCCAAGCACTTGCAATTAGACAATTACAGCAGTCTCAACTGACTAGGATGGCATTGCATAAACCAGAAAATCAACAGCAAGTGCTAAGATACTCAAGCTTCCATTAACTGGAGAACAATAAATAATAAAACCAAAAAAATGTGTCCACATACCTTCTACCACTTGCTTTTCCTCTTCCTCTTTAATTTGGTTAGCAACTTTCTCCAGTTCTGCTTGTAGCTGAGTTGAAGACGTATGAGCACGTGCAAATTCATTAAGGGTCTGCCACGCGCTCTTCAAAGAGCTGATAAAACCCTGTTTCAGATCAGATCCCATTCGAGACAGAGAGTCTTTCAACTCTAGAAAGAGCATCACAGCAAGAATATTTACAACATTCAACTAAAACCAGAATTATTAAGCTCCATTCAACAAACATTTCAATTACTACCAGAAACAGGCTTGTTATGTCATAAACATGTTTCTTGCACCCTTACTCTATTTAAAAGGATGATATAGAATTAGTGCATCATTATTTCTCACTAAATGGGTTAATGAATTAACACAATAAACGTGTTAACAGCAACTAAGTTGCTATTCAGTACTGGTAGCAAACAGTGAACCAGAAAGGGCTCTCCCAGTAGCTCTCCTAACACTCAATTGGTTGATGGTTTAATGGTTAGATTCACACTGCTCTGTTACATCAGGAATCAGAGTTTTCCATGGAACATTCACCTAGATCTAAGAAAAATCAGTCTTTCTTGTAAAGAGATAAAGACCATATTTTTTTCCTTTATTACATACATTTTAAGAGTTGCAAGCTAAAACATTCCTAAGCAAGTACCTCGTCTAGCCTAGGAAAACAGACTGATTCTAACATACCATCCCTAAAGCACAAATACTGAATTTCTCTATCCAAGGCCCTGAATGAAGATGGACTTTCAAAAGGGCCCTGAACTGTTGCACTGTTAGCTGAACAGTAAAGCTGACATTCTTTAAGTATGCAAAATTTAAGTCACCTGAAGTCACCACTTGTACTCCTGAGCAATAAAATCCCAACCCCTGCATTGGGAAAAAAACCTGCATTTTTTTTCCTGAACATTTCCAATACTGAAAAGACTGGTTAAACATCTAATGGAGGTCATCTGGGACAAGGTAAAAAAAACCAAAACAATAAAAACCATCTAACAACACAAAGACAGGCACCTGGACACACTGTCTCCTGAAACTGTATGATACTCTATTGCCTCAAACAATGGAAGTTTGATCCATAATTTACATAAGTTTACTTTTTACCTAGATGAAGTCTTTTTCTGCCTTTGTGGTGTGGAATAAGAACTGGTTTTAAACTCAAGTCTTCAATGATCATTGGTTCTATCCTGTAAGCTACTGGATCAAGCTGTTAAGAAATAACAAAGTGATGTTAGTTATCTACCAACCTGCCAATGTTTAATTGCTAATCAAGACAGGACAGAAAAAGACAAACATACTGCATTTACAACACCTGTTAGAATTTCTAAGTTTCCCAGAATCTCTCTGGAAACTAAAAAAAGCCTTGTAAATAGCTCAAATAAAACATTTTTACAAAAGCATGCTGAAAAGTTTGAAATTAATGAAGGAAAAAAAACAAAAACTTTGGCTAAGCTCTAAAAATGAACAGGACAAATATTATCAAGCCACATATAGGCATGGAACCTGTGAAGCCAACTCTACTTTTTTTGTAGTAAATATCATAGGTATCTGGAATAAATATTCCAAATGGGTTATTCTGGTTTTTTTTTGAAAGTGTACCTAGGGGGAAATGAGGTGTAATGCTCTAAATTAAAAACTGAGCATTCTGTATTGTGGTTTGCATCAGCTAAAATCCAAACTCAGAAGTACTGCTTACTCACTGGATGATAGATGTTGAAGAAACCCTTGCAAGTAGGAAGCCTGTAGTTCTCATCAATCTTCTCCAGTCCTCGTACAGTTAGGAAGACACCAATAGGGGAACCAAGAGCAAAGAATGTATCTGGTTCAAAGTCCAGTGCACTGTAAACTACTGAAACCTATCAGACAAAAGTCAAAAATAATCATTCAGTACTGCCAGCTAATTGCTATAATGCTTAACTAGGAAGGAAAAACAAGCCATGTATTAAATCAAACACATGCTGACAGGTACCTCCAAGACATTTCAGCTGCACTGTTCCATTCCACACTAATACTATAGTGTTATATATTACTATAATGTGATTTTATTTTTTTTTTTTTAAACTTCACACTATAGGTAGATACAAAAAAAATAAAAATTGGTATTTATTTGAATAGGAAGCATTCAAGGCTTGTTTCTTGAGTTAAGATTAAGTACAACTTAAATATAACAGCATACATGAACCAGTTTAGGCCATCCAGTACCACAGCATTCTTACCATTCTGATTTTGGAACAGGACACTCATTGGTGAAAGTAGAAAAGTTAATTGTATTGGTATCCTCACTGTTTTAGTGTTTTTCAGTAATCTGATCCACTCTCCCAGCACTCACTCTCACCAAAAGTTCCTTGTAAACATAACATCTGCACAACAATCAAGGGATGCAGCTCAAAGTCATCAATGTTGAATGAATGAAATAACACACAAAAACAAGCAAAAGGACAGCACTGTTCCAGATAATTTGTTTAAATTTATGTAGTCTCACCTGACCAGTTCCAACTTCAAAATACTCATAGTCAACGTTCACAGAAGAAACAGATGCACCAACTGGAAGCTTCCTCTTTGAGTGCTGCTGACCTGACTCTGAAGGTGAGACAGAAGTAACTGTTTCTTTTGCTTTCTGGGAAGCTTCTTGTGTTTGAAGCATGGCAGCCAATGCTGCTTTCTTCTCTGCTGCAGCTTTCTTCTGTTCCTTTTGAGACAGGTTTCAAGACCAGAAAAAAATAAATAAATATTTTTTCCACATTTATCAAAATTCTTCCAATATATTCATGTTGTTAACAAGTGTGTTAAAGAACAGAAGTTACTTAATAGCAACAAAGTCAGTTACACTTGCTTAACAACTTTTTATTTCACTCCTGAAAAGTGTATTTACCTGCTTGGCTGCTCTGTCTTTTACAAAATTGGCTATTTTCTTTCTTGGTCCAAGAGGTATCCCCATTTCCTTCAGGTCATCAATTGTACACATCAGCTTAAAAACAAAACCACAAATATACACAAAGTACACTTAATAACTTTTCTAGTAACATGTATCACTTCTTACTGGCAAATGAAATAATTAAAAGACATTTTACAAAGCTACAGAAATGTAAGAATACAAAACATAGTGACATAATATAATTGAAAAAAAAAAAAATCCAAGTCATATAATATTTAGTCTTCATGTCCAGCATTAATTATGTTCATGACTACTTTCATGCCTGACAGTATGCTGAGGCAAAAGAAGAAAACAGCAAACAATAACAAATCCTACACCCTGGTATAACCCCCATGATCCAACTGAACATTATTGTACCAGAGATTCCATGTCAATCCGCTCCTTTTCAAATGTGCTTGCATACTCTGATAAACTCAGCATCTCCAGAGTCTTCTGCAAAGTAGGAACATCATCATCTACTTCAGGCTCACAAAGGTCATCACCAGAAGTGGTAATTGAGGAGCCCAAGGAACTGGTATCTTCAGTCATCTTAAAAGGACAGCATAGAGAGTCACATCAGACAGTAACAAGTCAATACACAGCAAATAAACACAAACTCTGTTAATTGCTCTTAGAAGCACTCATGTTATATAAGCTTTGTTAATCTAAGCTCATTTTTAGTAAAATACAGTACCAGTTTTCTGTTAATAACAGACTAAGAAATTATACATCTAAAAATTACTGAAACAAGAGAAAGGTTGCTTGAGGTTTTGAACACTTAAAAATGTATTTCCATTAATGATCAAACAGCTAGACACTGCATCAAGCTTGACAACAAATAGATTCATTCTTTCCCTCCTGGAAATCTCTCAACCACTCAGGTTTACAAAGACAAGTTATGCATCCACAAGTCCAAAGATAATGCTCATGATCAAATACCAGGACTGCTCTACTTGGAACTTCAAGGAAAGGCATATGGTTTGTACTGAGATTTGACAATGTTTACAAAATGGCACATTACCATTAACATGTCAAAACATACCATCAAAACATGCAATACTGTTTCAGTCAGTAAACTCTGGCCACTAGAGAAGAAGATGCTGAAATTATCAGATCTAATTGCCTGGGAAGATTAGCATGCAAGTTACCTGTTTATCTTGAACAGGCACATCCTTTTCAGTCCCATTAACACCAGAGAAAGGTTCAGTATTTACTGATGAAGCCAAGTCTTTCTGGTTAGATAATATGTCAAACAGAATTAAGGAACCTGGAAACAGAAATTAAAGTTGCCTTAAGAACAGTTTTAGATACTTCCTGTGCCAAAGTAATCAGCAAGAATTAGATACAGCAGTTATAGCAACATATAAATTGACAAAAAAAAAAACCTGCTGAACTTAAATACACACATACTAACATAGCAGTAAAATGCAAACAAGATCTTTTTCGTCTTTTTCTGCTCAAGTGGAATGCAGTTGCCAGTATTAAACTACCTTTTAACCATTTTAGACTGAAGATGGATAGATCTTACCAAACAGAAGGAAAATCCCAGCCCAAACCAATGTAAAATAACTTTTATGAAGTCGTATGTTGTGTTCCAAAAAATGACCTTAGTTTTACTGAGTGGGTTACCTGCCTAAGATGACACTAGATAACCAATTAACTTTTAAACTCAGATTAGATATCAAGTCCTCATGAAGAAAATTAAGACAGATCAAACATACATGTATGCCAGAGTTACAAACTTTCTTGCAGAGCTTTATAAATGCATCTATTGAGAAGGGTTTTATTTTTAGTCTGAAAAGCACGCATGAACTTTCAGCTAAGTTCAGCCTTCTGCTTCACAGAGGTTCCACTTCCCTTCATGTAGGAATGCTGGTTTTATTTTCAATCAGTGCCTTCAATAATCACCTAAACTGTGTCCAGCCACAGAGACTCCTCCTTTGAAATCTGGATTGCGACTCATGAAAAGTGCATACAGGCGGTTCATTTCCATCCCTACTTTATCCACAATCGTCTGACAGTAGGTGGGGCTGTTGTAAAACAGGATGTCAAGCAGGGTTTCGTTGGTGAAGTGGCGCAGGCGTCCAATCGATGGCAAAGTGATTTTTTTGATGTTCCTACTCAGAACAGAGAATCGTTAGAAGTAGAAGATAAGTAGTTTGTTAACTTTTGAAACAACAGATGGCAGAGCTGCAATCTAAATACTACAGAGAGGGTCTTTAGAGATATTTTCAATAGCATGTAGCTTTCTGGCCTCACTGCAAATTCATACATTAATGCTCCAGGAATAGACAAAGGGCTTAGTGCCTTCCTCAGAAAGAGGACCCTGGTATCTCCTAGAGTCAGACTTGAGACTGCAGGAAGGCACAGGAGAGACAACTATCCAATGTGAATGGAACACACCTGTTGCTGTACTACACATTCACTCTCCTAAGTGTTTCATGTATCAATTGCATTAGCCACTCCCATGAAAATGCTGTATCAAATGTTCAGCACGTATGTATAGTTCTGTATCCTGCTACTCAGCATCATGAAAATACAAAATACTCCACATCTTTCCAACTTTCCTTACAATGTACAACAAAGTGATAATTACAAAAACAAAAAAGCAGTATTTTTTGTAACACGCTCAGACATTTGTTCATCCAGCCTCACAAGCACATTAATTTCTCTAGTTGTTTCTGCAGAAAAAAGATGAACATACACTCACCTGTCCACACCTGTTGCATCTCCATGCAGAGAACTATGCCAGTGAACTGGAAGGAACTCCACTCTGCTCACTTTACCTTCCTCTAAAGATTTCTTAAAGTGAGTCTGCAGCAACTTCAGAGAAACGGTTCTAAAATCATCAACTGTAGAGAAGCAGAGTAATGAAAACCTGACAGTAAAGGTATTCAAGTAGTACACAACTACAAACATTATTTTTTCCCCCTTAATTACAACAGACATAATCAAAATACAAATTAAGGAAACTGCAAAGTGGAAAAACCTTTCCAAGAATTACTCAATTATTATTATTATTTTTTTTAAGTGCCTTTCTTGTAAGCTTCTCCTTATCTCACAACAGTGCATTTTTACTCTAAGATCAGACCACACACAGCCTTCTTAGCTCACTCAAGTGCCTTAAATAAATGAATAAACCCAAAGAAATGCACACACAACCAAACATACCCCAAAATCCACTAAAAATTTTTTTTTTTTTTTTTTTTTTTTAAAAGACATACTTATCTGAAAGATAAGCTATCTGCACTTAACAGTTAAAAATAAAACTGCAATTGAACAAGGGAAAACGTACCACATTCAACAATGCTTCTAAATCTCAAGTCACACACAGGCCCGATGCCATGAACCATGAACACCAAATGATCAACTTGGGCCATTTCTCCTGTAGAAAAAGAAAAGGAAAAAATCAGAGTACCAATATTTACTACACTAGTGAAATTTAGAGCCAAGCATTCTTAAACTGCTTCAAAAAGTCTATTATATACCGTGGTTCAAGATATCACACAGTCCACAAGACTGCTTTGATTAGAGAACAACATCAATGGATTGCAGCTTAGATTATGGAGCAGTTCTAACCTTTAGACTCTACACATGAACAGCGTTTTGCTGCTCCACTCACTGTCATCCAACTTTTGCACTGAACCAAACGCACTGCTCAAGATGCAGCCCCACATACACTAATCACATACCATCAGGTATTTCATCATGGTCATCATCAATTCCACGTTTTACTACCCTTGGTCTTGCCTGACCATCTTGTGAGGTGCCCCATTCATCTGATGTAGCAGAAGGTTGGAACTGAACTATAACCTGAGAAAGAATACATTTACCAGTTATAAATACAAAAACAAACAAAATCAATGAAAAACACAACCTTTTAAAACCCTATGAGCTTCTCCACAGTTTTTCTTAAATGAGACTCTAGACCCTGAATTAACACAGATAATTCTCACTAGTTTGAGAAGCAACCAGATGACTTACACTAAAGTAAAACCACTAGTTGAAGGTGCTGGCTTGCTCTGCAATTCCTAACAATTTCAATTCCTCAGACAAGCATTATTCAGGTGCCTCTTTCCTGGATCCCAGTGCCACTCTTCCTTATCAGCTGGCTATTTTTTGTGAAGAAACTAACTGTTCCCCCTATTTACAATTATTCCAATTTAAGGCAAAAAAAAAAATTGATCAGTCCTCATCAGAGAAGGAAAACATTTAAAAGGAGCATAAAAACCTTAGAAAACAATTAATTCACTAGCATGACTGTTTATAGTCACTAGCACAAGTGTCACATCATATTTATGACACTAAGAATTTTAAGTGCTTCTTCTCTAGGGTTTTTCCTGGATGAAACTTCTTAACCTACATTAGTGGTAATAACATTCTTAACCTATAACTGATTCTGATAAATATTTTTTTAATTTTATGTATTACTGCATCTGTGATAAGAGAACAGTTAACAACACTGCTCAGTAAGTCTGAAGTCCACAGTTAAATCACACGACACTGCTAGCAGAGCATTTACAGTACAGAAAAGATTTAGTTAGAAATTCTACTTCCTCATGGCCTAGAAATAACTGCAGTGGAAGACTTTGTGGCTAAAATATTCAAGCTAATTTTTACTGTTTGATTAATGCTCTTCTTCCCATGAAAGCTTAGCTTTAATTAACCTCAGACAGTCTCTACCAACTGGAAAGTAATTTAAATTACCTCCTGCTCGCTGCCAGTTACACTTAGCAAATATTTCAGCCATTTAACCCTTGTTCTTTCTAAGTACCAGGATGCACTGTATTTTAATCAGGTCACAGCACATTAAAACATGAAGATTTTATAGTTTATTTTATAGAATTTTATAGAAGACTTTATAGTATATTATATAGTTTCTATAAGCATTTTTATCTTAAACACACACATACTCAAAACAATTAAGAAGTCAATTTTAAGCAAAACTAACACTGCATTATTCTTATACTCATTCAGCCCAATGCATTCTGCAAGAACCAGCTGCCAGAATCTATTACCTTGGGATTATGCATAACAATTGTCTCCCCATTTGGGAATTCAAGTCGACGATGCCATTGATTTGTAGTTACAGCCCTTTTATATTCTGCCTGAAAAGGTAAACAAGTTTAATTGAGAAATCTCATTTCATGTCTTTTTTGGCCATGCACATTATCTGTAATGTTAACATTAGAAGTTATATAGTTTTATCTACACTATGAGTGACATGGCTCAGTACACATGGTGGGGATGGTTTGAGGGTTGGACTAGACAATATTAGTGGTCATAATATCATAATATGATAAATAAAAAGTACTTCCAAGTTCTTCATGAAGCTTATGTAAGAAGTAATACCTACCTCCAGCTTATCACTAAAATCCTCAGTGTAAGGAATAAAGCGGCTGTCCTTCTCTCCCTTATAGAACCACATGCATCGTCTCACTTCTGAAGGCTCTTCTTCCCAGTAAACAGCCTTCCTCATTCTGTCATACAGGTACACGTCATAGCGCCCGCCATCAGTGCTCAGAACCACGCTCTCAGGATCAGGCTGGACTGTGACACAAAAGTTACCCTCAGTTACAACATGAACATGTGCGTTCTTTTTTCCTCTCTCATTCCAAGGCCCCAGTCACTACTGTGACTGACACTAAGTCATTAAGGCAGATATTTATATCATAGAAGTTTAATATCTTCCATCTAGTTCCTTCTGCTCACCTCTGAAGAAGACACGATTAAAATCTTTATAACTTACCAGAATTATAGACTTCCTCTAGTTTTGCAGAATCCAGAATGCTGAATGGCATCCATATTTGCTTGTCTTCCACTTCTTTACAGTAGAACCAGTGTGGCTGAACAGGCTCATATTGGTTCTGTGGCAGAACAGGAGGTGCTTGGACCAATGGACCTGCAGGCCTGGGAGCTCGGAGCTGTGACTGAGACTGAGGAAACTAAAAAAAAGGTCTCTCTCAATTTTACAGATTTTTTTTTTTTTTTTTTTAATAGAATTAATTCATCTTTTGCAATAAAGAGCACTGTGAGCTTTTATTTCTGTTTTCCAAGAACATTCTCTTTCAATCAGAAAACAGTATATAGACAAGTTGCCCATTGCTTATGTTTTCGAAAACTTGCATGTTTCCAATTACAGGATTGATCTTTAAGGTAAAACACACAGTTCAAAAAGGAACAGAGTCTTAAATTGTTAAATTCTGGTAGCACCACATCAGGAACAATTTATTTACCTGTGTCAATGGCCCTGGAGGTGTCTGATACATCTGGACAGGTGGGACAGAAGATGGTGGGTGAACAGGTGGGGTTGATGCGTGACCCTGCTGCAGTTGTGGAGGAGTAAGGTATGGGTTGGCTCTGCTGCTCAGGGTGGTGTGGCGATAAGGATTATAACCCTGCTGAGATGGAAGAGCAGAAGCATTTGCAGGTGGGGGACAACTCTGTTGAGGAGTCTGATAACCTGCAATTCCCACCTGTGAAGTAGGTGGAGGACCAGAAGAGGACTGTGACTTGGGAAGCTGTGGAGAAAAGGCATTTTGCCCGTCCTGTGACCCAGTCACAAGTGGAAGTGAAGTTGGAGGCCTGGAGAAGGCTGCTGCTCCAACAGGTGGTGCAGAAGATGTTAAGGGCAGCTGCCCAATGCTTCCAAACGGATCGCTGCTACTGGGCACTTGAGAGAAATAGTTGAAAGTCTGTGGAGGATTAGGGCTGGCAGAAGTCTGACCCAAGAAGCTGTCCTCTTCGCCAACATCTGCAGAATCATCTGCAAGGACATACAAAACAAAAAGACGTTCAGAGAGGTTCCAACAAATCAGCACATGTAGACAAGATGTTCTGTAATGTTACAAGCTATTTCCAAAACTCTACTGGACTATATGAAACCAAAACTATTATAAATCTTATATATCCTTGAAGATTAAATGCGCCATAAAGTTAAACAAAGGATGCCAAGGTCATTCTGTGTTCATAAAGCAACAAAAACTAAAATTTTAAGTAAAAGACCAAAGTATAACTTAAATTAGGACCTTTCCAAGCCACCTTGTCGAAGAAACATGCTTCCATGACACTAAAATCCCCTTCAATCTCCCTTATGCCTACCAAATACAGGAGTGGCTTTGCTTTATTTCCTCTTGCTACAAAAACAGATTCTAAGAATAGAACCTTACTCTCTAATGTTTAGGCTTCCAAGATCTCACTTAAAAGTAGGGATTAAGGACATTCCCAAACTGACTGTGCCTACTGGTGATGGCTCTTAGTGGCTTAAGGCCATCCTCACCTGACCGATCAGCAATGCCCTCTCTCAGTTTCCCACTTTATTTGCAAGGTGGCCAAAACTCATCACTCCAGTTTCTCTGATTAGCAAGATTCATCACAAGCAAGAGTTAGTCTGGTTCTAAGAACCTTACTGTAGATTTGTGCAAGAGGTGAATCTCTGGTACAGAAAAACAAGTCCCCATCCTGTGTAATTGCAGGAGAGAGCTTAAAATCCTGTCATGTCTGTGTTTTTCCATCTTGAGAAAGAACACATGCCAGCTCCCTGTCAGTTTCAGCTTTCTGCTTTGCACTGATCCAGTAGAAATTGGAAAACCAAGCAGTTTGACCTGAGTCCAGCAACAGACTCAGCTGAACGTTGAACTGTCTGAGCATCATTGCCTGCCTGCTGAGGAAACAGCACCTTGCAAGCACCCAAAGCAATTTATTGGAAGTCATAAGAGCATTGTTTCTGCTCTGGCAGTCAAATAATCCCCAGACAGTGGGGATGAATCCCCCTTTACTGCTTCTCTGCTCCTCAATCCCCAGGCAATAAGAGACCAGCAGCTCCAAGCGGCCGATAACAAACACCTTTACATCTCTACCTGCAGCCAACATCACAGGAATACAGAGCATCAAGGGAGCACTGGGGAATCCATAGAGAAGTCCCTGTAGGAACTAGTTAATAAAAAAGCCGTTCTAGTTAATCAATCAGGAAAGCAGAATTTGCCATGACTAAAATGTTTATTTACCAGTCTTTTCTGATGACAACAATTTTAGGCAAGCACCACCTGAATTTGCACCTATGGTACCACTTTCAAGAGCCTTTCAAGGCCTTTACCAAAACCCTATTCACAAACCACTTTAAGCATATTTGGAAAACTCAGTCTATCCGTGCATATCCTAAAAAAATGGACAGACAAAACCATATATACATACAGTTTTCAGATACAATCTCTACATTACCTTTTTTGTAATTTGCACAAACTCCATTGAAACACATGCATAGACAAAGTGAAGCACTTTGTACAAATGAAAAAGGAATCCTATGATTCTTCAGCTTTGAGAAACAAGGGCAGTATTCCTCTCACATTCAGTGACTGTGTGACAGCCTCCTGTGCATTCCTCACAGATAATACCTTGTCACTCGCAGACTGCCATCTGACAATCCCTAGTGACAAAAGTCCAAGTCCTCATTGGGAACACTTCCTACAGTAAGGATGTTAGTTAGTTCATCTGAACCAGACAAAAGATGTGCTCTCTTCGAACCATATGGCACAAACCTCTTACTGCTAGACTCTTCAAAATGCAACAGATGCATTCATGCACACAGCTTCCAAACATCAGCTTTCACATGGGTGTCAAACAATTCCTGATGTAGATTCTCAAAACAGTTCAGGATTCAAAGTCAAGGGCTCATCCCTTCCTGCTTCACACTGTGATTCAAGATGCAAACCGCTCTATGCATCCAGGTCCTTGTGACAGCTGGCTAGTCAAGGTGAATGGGAGGCATGACAAGTAGAATATAACAGGATGCCCCTCCCTTGAACGTGGCATAACCTCAGTAGATCTCCAGCAATTAATTTCACTCCAGTTGCAAAACTATGAACCTTCATCCAATCAAAAATTCAGCAAAAAGGAGAGTGCACAACTAATCACATCTTATTACTAAAATCCCATCAACAGATTTCCTCCCTCGCCAGGAAGCTGCCACGTGAGAGCCACTCACATAATGCTAATTTCCAGACCTGCACTTAAGAACTGTAAGGACTGTGCAAGCTCAGTTAGTACGTGTATCAGCCACCTATCTTAGATAAGTAGGAATGATATTTCAATGTTCTTGTTCCCTCTCTCTGCCCCTGAAAATGTGGATCATCTAAAAACCATTCTGAAGCCACACTTGTCAAGCATGTTTGTAAACTCACAGTGATTGTACTGCATTCATTTCCCTAGCTAAGGCATGTCAGCGTTGAAATCAAGTTTTGGATTTTGAACAGAGTGTAGAATCACAGACTCATTAAGGTTGGAAACGACCACCAAGACCATCCAGCCCCCCCAGCAGGCCCATCCGCACACCGCTCAGTGCCACAACCCACAGCTCTGTACTCCCACAGCTCTGTACACCCACAGGCTCAGCGACCCAGCACTGCCCGGGCAGCTGCGCCTTCAAACATCCCACCTCAACCTTCCCTGGTGCTAAATTAACACGGAAATCTCAAGTTCCTGCTCAGCGCTCTGTATCCGCACGAGGTAAATGAAAGATGACGTGGGATTGGCACACCCTCAGGGAAGATGAGGGTCACAGTGAGACAGGAGCTACCGAAGGGAAGCACAGTTTGGCCGAGCACAGCACGGCAGAGCACAGCACGGAATCCCGAGCACAGCGGGACGAGGAGCGGCCCCTCAGCTCCACACGCCATAGCGCCCGCCCCTCACAGCACCCCATACCCGCCGTGAGGAGAGCGGGGCCCGGCGGCGTGGCCGGCGCCTGGCTGACCGGGATGAAAGGCACGGTGAAGTTGAATTCCGTAGCGGAGGAAGCGAAGAGAAGGTTGGTGCCGCTACCGGGCTTCGCCGCCGCCATGGCTGCGCCCCGTCCACGTCCCTTCCCAACGGCAGCCCGGCCCCTTCCGCCCTCATCCCGCCCGCCTTTAAGATGGCGGCCCCGCGAGCGGGCGCGGCAGGAGGAGAAGGGAGGGGCGAGAGGAAAAGGCGGGTTCGGATCGCGCCGCCATTGCTGCGGCCGCTCTGAGAGGAAGAGGAGGAGGAGAAGGCGGAGGGCGGAAGTCCGCGGTCCCCGCGCTGGGCTGGCGAGCGGGAGTCGGCGGCTGCGGGGCGCTGGGGAGGCGGCGGCGGCGGCCTTCGCCCGCTTCTCTCCCGCCATGCCGTGCGTGGCCGACTGGCTCAACAGCCCCTTCAGCATCGTGCAGGGCATCTTCGGTGAGCGCGGGGCCGGGCGGGGCCGGGATCTGCCAGGAGCGAGCCGGAGGGAGGGCCGCGGGCTGGTGCCTCTTTCCCCGCCGGGAGCGGCGCGGGGCTGAGGCGCGGCGTGCTGCCGTGTGATGCGGGGCGGCGGCCGGCCGGCCTGCCTGCTTGTGCCGGAGCTGCGTAGGGCTGTCCCAGCCGGGCGATCCGCTTCGCAACTTAGCATAGAGCAAACCCACGTGTGTTTTTCGGGGTAGCGGTACTGTTGCCGTGCGCTCCTCTGGCAGCAAGAAGTACTGGAAGTGAGACCCGAGCGCGTGGGTTTGGAGCTGGAGGCAGCACGGAGAGCGAGGGCTCTTCTTGTGGCCTTGGCCGTGGGGCTTGCTGCTCGCTGTACCCCCATGAACGCTGCCGCTGCCATAGCTGAGGCTCGGTGCTAGGCTTGATTTGAGCTAAAAGCTCGCTGAAATAAAGAAAACTTCCTCACGCAGCAGAAAGTGATGCCTCGGCTCCTCCAGTCGCACGTACCCGGGAGTGTTGCTGTGTTTCAGAGCCCTTCTGCGCTGCCCAGCCTGTGTGTTGTTTTCTCAGTTCGCCCGAGGGGCGTGGGATGGGGAGCTGGGCACAATGTAACATTCATAAAGTCGTCTAGAACTCAGCTGTTTGCCCAGAATGGGGATAAATGTTTGAATTGCTTACTGTGTTGGCACCGCGCTGAATAGGAGCCTGTTGTGTGATGCAAATGTTGATGGAAACGTGCCTTGTTTTGTAGCCCAAAATACTCCAAATTCCGACTGGGAGAAGAAGGTAACTGACTACTTCAAAGAGAAATTAAAGGAAAATAATGCTACTAATTGGGTAAGACTGTTATTCTCTTCGAGTTACACAACTCTGAAGTTATGCTCTTGTACCTCCTAACCATTGCAGTGATATATTTTTAAGAAGTTCTTCCTTTTCATGATATGCACTTCTGAACGTTAGGCCTTTGTGATGATTATTTACATTTCAGTTGCTTTAGTCTGTATGTAAAACAAGATGCAAATTCCTGACTGATACTGCAGCAGCCCCAGTCCTTGGCTCCAGTGTGCTGGTTTGCCTTGGGCCCCACCTGCTGAGCGCTGCCTGCTGGTGCTGGGATCCAGTAGGTGGCAGGAGCTGACAAACACTGTCATATTTGGAGGCCAGGCCTGTTGGTCTGCAATAAATGTACACAGGAAGTGTTCAAACTGTTCTTCTTCCACGTCCTTCTATCATAATGCTGCAAAATTCGGGTGGGTTGAAGAAATATCTGCTTGGATATTCATGTTTGAGGAAGAATAGCATCTGCTAAAACTTCTTGAAGTCCAGCAAGGGAAAACCATGCTTTAGATTTAAAATAAAGCGTACACACTTGAGTTCAAATGATGCTTTAGTGTAAAAGGCTGACAAAAATGGCATCCTGGAGCACTGTTAATTGGATTGAAACAACAACACTTCAAGGCTTGAGCCAAGCAAGTTAGCAGTGGGATATATAAGATGATAAGAAAGGGGCAGTGGCAGCTTTTGCAATGTGTTTGTTTGGGTTTTTTTTGCTTACTTCATTGTGATACTTAATGCTTATATGGCAGTTGTTTAGGAAAAACTTTCTTTTACAGGTCCCATCGCTGAATGATGTTCCTGTACATTACCTGAAACCCAACAGTTTAGTGAAATTTCGCTGTATGGTTCAAGATATGTTTGATCCTGAGTTTTATATGGGTGTATATGAAACAGTTGACCCAAACACAAATGCACGTGTAAGTGAAATACTGACTTGTTACTTCTGTAAATGCTTAACATTTTCTTCTTCCAAGTCATCGTATTTCTCAACTTTCAGAGCTAAAGCTGTGGAGTCTGGCACTGTCTGGTGGTTGCTTATTATATAGCATCAGTAATATAACAGTATTTATAATTCTCTTGGGGAATTTAAAGAATAAATATTGCTTTAAAAGTATAGATTTTTGAAGGACTTAAGCACAATAATTTAGATATAAATCATATTCAAGCTGCTGGCACACAGGGAATGATTGCACTGTTTTTTCCTTCTTGACAGGTTTTGCATTTTGGTAAATACAGAGATGTGGCAGAATGTGGGGTAAGTTACACAAGTTGTATGCATTTTGGGATGAACTATTAGTTGAAAAGATACAGTTTATAAGTGCAGTGTAACTTGGTACTCACAGTGGGCTCCTGGAGATAAGTCTCTTAAAACTGGAAGTTAATCTCAGATTGGGACAGCAGAGTATTCCTAATTGTTTATCTGCTTTCGAAGTTCAGCACAGTTGAAGTCAATTCTGTTTTAATTAACATTTGTTCTACTGGGTGGGGTGGGACAGAAAGCACTTCAGACTGTTTAGATTCACTGTTTCATAATATGTAATCAGGCACATTGTGAGTTCTGGCTAAGTAGCTGAGTATGTGAATATTTAGTTTTAAACAGGAAAGACACTAATCGGGTTTTTAATGTTGTTATTTCTATTGGCATTCTAGCCACAGCAGGAAATTGATATGAACTCCTCACAAACAGTCACCTTGGAAAGACAGACATTCTACTGCGTTCCGGTGCCTGGTGAATCAGCCTGGGTGAAAGAAATATCTTTTTTCTCTGATCTAGTGCTGTGCTATGCAAACATCATCACCAATTAATTTGTTAGCTGTAAGGAGACAAATTTATGTAATGTTTCTTAGTTTTGGGGTTGTTGTTTTGTTTTTCACTTCAAGGGGAATCAGGACAGGTAATGATTGGAAGGCTCTTGAAAATTGCTGATAATTCATATTTGTGCATCTTTAGAAAATGGGAGACTCAATTTGAGCTCTGGGCGTTCACTGATGTTTTCTGGTGAAACCAAGACATTGCTTCATAGTAAGAGTCTGACAAAAGCCCTTGTAGAAACACTTGCAGCATGTTAGACAGTAATTCTTGGAGGGGATATGTTGTATTTTGTAAAATGATGAGAATTTGATGGTAAATTTGATGACTTGGTAATTCACATTTTGAATTCAAAATTTAAGAAAACTACTTGTCATTGGTACAGAATGCCAATAGCACTTGAATATGGTGGGGTGGGTGTTTTTTGGTGAATAGGTGGTCGCTAGGAATTAAACTGGGGGGAATGCTCAGGTCAAAATCTTGCAGCAATGGAAATTTCAGGTGAACCTGACTGGTGTGAAGATGCCTGAAAGTCATTTCAACGTTTGTACATTGCATGCTAATGAAAACACCACTATATTAGATGTTGCAAAACTCATTTATACCTGCAGCACAGCTGGCATCTTACAAGTACGTCAGCATCTGCTGTGTATTTCTTTTCTAAGTAGTCCTAATAACTGCATCAGGTAGTCTTGCTCTGACAACCAGCATGCTGCCTGGGCCTGAAGAAACTTCTAATGCTTTGTTCAAAATAGGAGATGACATCAGCAGAGCTTACTTCCCCTGAATTTTTCTTGCTGAGTGTGGTGTTGTCCTTAATCCTCAATTTTACGCATATATCAGTGCCAGCCAAGCTCGAGTTAGTCCTTCAACATCCTACACACCAAGTCGCCACAAGAGGAGCTATGAGGAGGATGAGGACATGGAACAACATCCATCTAAACAGAAAGAGCAACACATGGGTAATGGTCTTACTGATGACTAGATGTTAAGGCATTTTGTCAGGCATTGCAGAAATTCAACTTCAGAAATCAAAGTATTTGCAATTGCTTGAATCAGCATTGGTTAATGCAGCCTCTCATAACCAACTTGGTGTTTTTGTAGACCTCATCAGTGGCTTAAGTAATGAGGGAGACCTTATGGTGTTGGGCATTGTATATTCTATGCCTTATTGGTTTTTATTTCCCACAGTTAATAATTCCTAAAATAAATATCTTGTTCAGCAGCACTTGTATGCTGCCTTTTCTGGGAGTTCTCTTTTAATTTCTAACTGTAAAGCATGTTTCATGGTAATCTTGAGAAAATGAGTTTCTTTGGATGTTACTGTTTAAATTGAGGCTGGACTGCATCTTAATTGGGTGCTGCTTTGCTGCAGAGAATACTGTATTTCTAAAGAATACCCTCTAGCCTCACCTTCTTCTTTTGTGAGACTTACAAATTCATAAAGGAGGCAGATTAATACCAGATGCTTTGTAGCATGCTAAAGAAGGCTCTTAGACCTTCTCAGAGGATGATATTTTCAAACCATCAGTGTTAAGATGGTGTGCACTGCTTACTGATTTTGCGGGTGACTTGTGAACTTGTTCTGTTGCTGTTTTGTGGAGACACCACTTCAACTGGCATAGGGGCCTCCTGAACATTTTGACGCCTTGTCTTTTGAACAACAGCAAATGGTTAGTTCAAAATGATGAATCCCATTACAAGAAAAATAAGTGGAAAAAGTATCTTCTGTTTGGTCTTACGTGGTCATGAGGTTCACTTGCTGCATTTTTGGTTTTTGTATTTAAATGGATGAATTGCAGAGGAGGTTTTCATAATGTTTTTTTACTGCTGAAAATCTAAAGATGATTAATGCGACCTGTTTTGTTGATGTATATTCTCACATCTGTGATTATCTGTTTTTCAAACTTGATATGCAGAAATGTATTGCCTTTGTAGACCTGCACAATTTAGAAGTGTTTAGTTGATGGGGTTGAAGCATCACATGTTGAAACTGAGGTGGTTTGATCATGTTTGGAGTTTTTAAGACATGCAGATTTTACCCACTCTCCTGTTTATCTTGGTAATGTAAAATATGCTTGTGATACTTTGCTACTCTGAGTCAGAATATCCTTTGACAAATATGCTCTTTTTTTTGTTTGGCTTCTTGTTAAATTAGTGTAATTCTACGTTGCTTGATGCACTGAGTTGTTTACTTTGCTTTTCTATTAAGGAGTGTGTGAATCCTTTGCTTTCAGGCAGTGGAGGTGATAGTCATGGATGTGGGGAGCCGAAAAGATTAGAAACTGAAGCTTCTGCAGGTCATCATCTCATTTCTCCCAACTGTTCACCTCCTCTTGACTTAAATTTTCCATTGCCAGGGGAGAAAGGACCAGCATGTCTTGTAAAGGTAAGAAAAATAGAGTGATGATGAGCACAGTTATGAGGCAGACAATCTGAAGTGGCAGGGGGAAAAGTCTGTTACTAACTGCTCAAATGTCTGGCAGAAACTGGCTTCTGGATACTTGCTTCTAGGATTTGCCCTCTTAAGCAGGAATTTGTGATGGGAAAAAGAAAAAACAACACAGCAGTACCTCTGTATTGTGCTTGAGCTGGTCTTTGATTCTATGCTGTCTATGAAACTTCTAACACTGCTTCCTTCTCTTGGACAGGTATATGAGAGCTGGGATACCTTCAAAGTCAATGATGTTCTGGAGGTGTATGGTATTTTGTCTGTGGATCCAGTGCTGAGTATAGTGAACAACGAAGAGAGGTAAGGCTTGGGTGGCATGTGGTTCTGAAGTGAAGTACATTTATGTTAATATGCCAATTATTTTTGTTTGTCCCTTTAATACAGACAGGGAAGTATGTGATATGTAATATTCACCTCTTCAGTTGTTGCCTAAATGCTTGATATGGAAAGCATTAGATTCACAGTCCTGTAAACTAAAATCCATTATACTCTGAAGCATCCATGGCCTTGGATTCATGATGCATGTTTTCCTACGTTGTTACCCAGTCTTTAAAGCAGAAACTATTTCTGTAGCTAAGTTCTGTACACTTTCATGCCTATTAAAATCTCAGAGGCTGAATGAATAGTGAATAAATGGAGAGCAGTTTTTGAGTAGGCTTTAAAATGATAAAATATACTATAGTTAATACTATACTCTCGTGAACTGTAGAATACTTAAAATTTAAACTTCTGTCTCTTCATAAATGTGGAATGATTGTAAATAGGGTTGGGTTTATTTTCTGCTAATTAAGGTGTATTATTATACTTCTGAAGTTTCTGGTTTCAGCTTCTGTTCTGTGACTACTTGCTTGAAAAAATGCAGTTCTAAGCAAATCAATTGTAAAAATAATCTTAATGACTAATCTAACAGAGATACTACTAATGCCTTGAGCAGTTGTGCTTCAAGTAAATTATTTGTGTTAGTAACTTTGTTTATCCTTTTAATAAATCCAGTATCAAGAGTGCAGTATGAGTCCTCTATAGTGCCAGCTTCTTAAAAGTAACTCAGCCTGGTCAGCTGCTTTTGGCTATCAGCTGTCTGACAGAAAGCTAATCCTGCACTGACAGATCAGTTGGTGTCATACAGTTATTTATTTGTTTTCTGCATGTCATTCTATCACAAATAAACAACGTGGTGGCATTTAGCAACATCTTGAATGCAGAGTCTAAACAAAAGATTTTTTTTTTTTTGATAGAAAGAGACAGAGGGTTGTTGGAGAGGTCTTGAAGTAATGAAGCCTTTCAGCTTAAGGCTAGTAAAAGTTCATCAGATTTGTACCAATCCTTGCCGTCATACTGTACAGTCACCTTTAGATTTTAGTTTGTACATAACACATGAAAACAGCCTGAAAGGGATTTTGTAAGGCACCACTGAGAAGACCAAACCTTGTATAACTGAACTCTAAATTAAGAGGTAACACGTGCAAGCTACAGTTGAAGTATGCTCAGATTTTTTTCTCTCAGCCGCCGATACAGCTGTTATGGGGCTGCCTTGAACCTCTTGTTGGCAGTGCCTAGAACCTGGCAGAAAACAACAAAAAAGTAATGCATCTTTTCTGAAAAGTTGCTGTATGTATATAACATCATCCATGTTTGCTGGACAGAGCAGTGTGTAACGCTTGATGTGAAGTTGCATCTGATTAAGTGGTGCAGCAAACAATGTGGTCTGTTTTGGGTGGCTTTTTTCCCCAGGAATGTAAGAATCCATTATCCTCCTGACACTAATAGAATCCAACTTCCTCTGTCAAGCATGCTTTGGTGTTTCCATCTCATTGGTTATAAACTGTGATTTTGTATTTGATGTTAATAAAAACCCTGAAGACAGTTCCTATAGTTGGAATACAGAAGTTACCAAGAGTTGGGAATAGATGTTGGGAACAGGCATGCTGTGTTCATGCCATGGTTCCAACAGCTTGTGCTCAGGTGGAGAAAAAGGTTTGGAGTATTTTCAAGTCTGTTTGTGCCCTTTCCTAGGGATAGCTCAACCCTGGATCCTATGGAGTGCATGGACACAGCAGAAGAGCAGAGAGTACACAGTCCTCCATCCTCATTAGTCCCCAGAATCCACGTGATTTTGGCACATAAATTGCAACATCTTAATCCATTACTGCCTGCTTGCCTTAATGAAGAAGAGAGTAAAACCTGTGAGTACACTTCACTCTACACACTTGTAAATGTGCAGTTTGCTGGTACATATGGACAGGGATTTCTTAGCTCGGAGACAAATGCATCAGTATTAGATTTGTTTTTAAGTTTTGTGAAAGTAGAAGAGCCATTCAATGCCACAGCCATTCAAAACACGAGTTTGTATTTATGTGATGCTTATGCATTGCTTTTTCTGAACTAAATGTGAGTTAAATGAAACATACTTAGCATCTACAAGTTCAAAGACTTCACCAAGCTGTTTGGCTGTAAGATTCCATTTGCTTTCAAATGCAGTAGTGAATTGCTGGAAAACTATATCTCCAAATTCATACTGCAGTGTAAGTAAACATATGTGCAACATAAGGAATCATAATGCTGTGAGAATAAGCAAAAACAGTTCTGGTTTTGAAGTAACTGTGTCATTCTTTGTGGCTGATTTAACTATTAGTTTTCTTGTTAATTATTGCACGTTAACAATGATGTACTTCATCCCTTCCTTGCATACATTGTATTGGCTGTTTTGAGCTCTGCTGTGTGTAAGGGGATTTTTTGTTTCTGATTTGGTATGACTATGCTATATATCTCAGAAATTAGACTCCAAGCATTATAGACTTCTGCAAAAGTATTATTTGCATTTATAACATTTAATTTAATAAAAAAAAAAAGTATTTCAAAGGAAATGCTGTGCAGCTGAAGTTACCTGAAGCCAGTAATTGCTTTGTAGGCAAACGAATGTTTATTTTTCTGTCTTGGAGTAACCACTCTTCTCCATCTGATTGTAATGGAAAACAAGCTTTATGTAAAGAAAAGTGGGGGGCGAAGAACTGCCCATTCTCTGACATTGTCTTCTGCTCTCTTATCAGTTGTGTCTAATTTCATGTCTGAGCTGTCACCAGTTAGAGCAGAGTTGCTTGGGTTCCTCACACATGCCCTCTTGGGAGACAGTTTGGCTGCAGAGTACCTTATATTGCATCTCATCTCTACAGTGTAAGTATTTAGATGTTTGTCTTTCAAAAGACATTTCTTTTTTGGGGTTCTTCACCATTCTGTAAGTGAACAGCAGAAACTGTTTATTCCAGCAGTACTTTGTCCAGATAGTTATCCTGTCATAGTGGGCAGTATTAGCAGACTTCGTTCTCTGGAATACCAGAAGGTTTTGTTCAGAGGCCAGTTTCATCCTTTTGGTGTTGCTTTGAGAGCTGGAAAAAAATCTCCTAGATAAAAGTTTAAACAGAGGTACAATATCAGTACATTTGTGTGCACACACTGTTCTTGCTGGCTGTGAACGCTCTGATGCTTGGGTCACACGGTAGTTTTTTTCCTCTTATCACAAAAAAATGTGAAACTTGTCAAGAACTGGCAGAAGATATACAGTAAGAAAAGGGAGAGGAAAGCTGAGGGCAGGTAGGGGAAATGAACAAGCATAGTCAGTAGGGAAACTGAGCAATAAGAAAGAGAAAGCATGGAGTGTTTGCAGTAGAGCAGAAGGAAAATAGAACATATCACAAGCACTATAAATGTACTGCTTTTGTACAATGCTGCAAAGCCTTCCAAAGCAGAGTTCAGTCTAATTTAGTTCCATGCGCACTGGAGAAGGAGCAAAAAATGAGCCTATTATTTACGTATATATCAGTACTGAAATCTCCTGCTAGCTATCAGAGATTGATCACAGATATCGCTCAGTTTGATAAGAGAGATCGCTCCGTTTGAGTGATATCTCTGATCACTCTGTTAATCAGATACTTCCCTCACCATGTTTCTTTTTGATTTAGTTATGCGAGACGAGATGTGCTTCCTCTGGGAAAATTCACAGTCAACTTGAGTGGATGTCCAAGGAACAGCATCTTCACAGAGCACATCTACCGCATCATCCAGCAGCTCGTCCCAGCTGTAAGAATAACATCACAGTGTTGCAGTGTTTTTAGTCGTAGATGTTGGGGTAATTGGCCAAAAGAAAGAGACTGTAACTTATTAAATAAAGTTGCTGATCTCCATCTAAGGGGCAGGTAAAAGTGGAGATGTATGTGGCTCTCTTCCAGTTGAAGCCTGTGTTATCCTAGTTGTCTAAGATGAACATGGAAACAGGTCCTCTCCTCGTATGTATTGAACTGTCAGACAGATGCATCTACCTTTTCTTAACGCATCACTTCTTAAGCCTTTAGTATTTGGATGTTTGGAATAAAATGTGTTCTGTATTATGGCAGCAAGTTTTATTTTACTTCCTGTGGAGGTTCACAGTTGCAGTTCCTGCTAAAGAAAAAATTACTTCCCGGAGAGGTGAGAGGAGATGTGCGAGGAGTTTCTTTTCTCATTGCAGTCCTATCGCCTCCAAATGACGATTGAAAACATGAACCACTCACGATTTATCCCACGCAAAGACTACACAGCTAATCGCTTAGTCAGTGGAATACTGCAGCTCGCCAGCAACACTTCCCTTGTCATAGATGAGACTCAGCTTGAGCAAGGACAGCTTGACACAAAAGGTACAATTTTTTCTTATATGTATGTATTTGAAGAGAGTGGTGCTAACTGTGTCCCAGTGACAAGTTTCTGTTACAAAACAGCTGGTGGTTTCCATATTCTATTTCATTGCTTGAAGTAGAATGCTGCTAGTTCTGCTGCCTTCTCAGACAATTTAATGCATGATCTCTCAGTTTTGCTTACTGGAAATTTCTGCTGTTTTGCTCAGAAGTGCTTGTATTGAGTCAGAACGAATAGCTCTAGAATTAAAAGTCCTACACCTATTGTTTTTTTTTCCCCCCCAAGAATCCCTTTATTAAGGAGTACTACCTGTCCCAGACCTCAGGTGACCTGTAGTGAAACAAAATGGTATCTCATTTGGTATGACTGTGTCATAGAGTGCTCTGGGCAGCGTGTCTGACGCTTGATGGAAGAGGCTGCTGGTTTGAATGAGTCTTCAGACCGCAATACCTCTGAACCATTACAGTGGTTTGGCTTTTCTGGGAGGCGAAGAAGGTGGGGGGAGCATACACTGCCTGATGCTTTATACATTTACTGTATATATGAAAACCATCCCATGAAACCCTACTTAAATGTGGGGCATACAAAATTAGCTAGTGTCTCATAGAAAAAAAGGGTGGTTCTGTCATTTAAGCTGATGTAGTGTTGCACAGTGTGCTTTCTACAGAGCTTTAAGTAATAACCTACATAAAAGAGGAATTGTGGTACCTTCTAGAAGCTCAATGACTGGAGAATGTATAGCATGGCTACATGTGATGTTTTGAGGAAAGACTAATGTCACTGGAAGTGACTTTTAAAAGAACAGTACTACCTTCATGAGTCTGAAGTGTGTGATGCTGCAAGACTGCTGGGCCTCCTTAATGAGTGGTTGGTGCTCTGTCCCATTGCAGCTCAAAGTTTGGCAGAATTAGCCAGGTTGAGATTTCAGGTAGACACTATTGAAAAACATAACTTCTTTTTAAATTATTACTACTGAAAGTTACTTATTTGCTTCTGAGCCTTTGCATGAGGGAAGGCTGTTAATCTGGCTTTACTCAAGCAACGAAACTTTAGTGAAGAAAATATTTAAGCTATTAAAATTATTTTCCTTATTAGTTTCCAAACAAAATCAAGATAACAAACCACAGCATCTAACAATTAAATGCTGCTCGTTTAAAAACACTGGGGGGGGGGGAGAGGGGGGGAGGGAAATCAGTTTGAAAAAGCAGTCAAAGTCAAAGCTGTCAGAGTTTTTTCTTGCTCTTCTAGGTGTGCACAATGTGAAAGCCTTGGGTAATCTGATAACTTGGCAGAAAGTGGATTATGACTTCAGTTACCACCAGATGGAATTCCCATGCAATATTAACGTTCTTATCACCTCAGAGGGCCGATCGCTCCTACCGGTACGGCAAGATCTTTTTGAATTTGGGGAATAATGACTGTTAGTAGCTATTTGAAAACACTGAGCACACTGTTCCAGGGACAAAGAAAGATACACGTGAAGACAGGAAGACTGTCTTATGAGCAGTGATGTAAGAGAGCCACCTTTCCTGCTTAGTTGAATACTGATGGCAAGGTAGTGACTGAAGTTATCAGTGGGCATTACAACGTTGGGTAGAGCCTGCAGGTAGACCACTGCTCTGAAAGCTTCATTGTAAAACAGCTTCAAGAGGGGTTGGGTGTATGAATAAAGAGCAGTTTGTCTGGAATTGCCCCTTGAAAAAACAGAGTAGCCTAATGTTACGTGTCTCTGACCACTTGCAGTCCAGCTTTATAAACTGAGAAACTGTGCACTTGTCTCAAAGGGAAACTGACTTACTGAATAAAACTCCACGCTGGGTTTCACAAAGGGAATTGTTAAGTATTTAAAGAAGGAATTGTCTTGCCTAAATTCTGAGACTTTTGCCTTGGAGGTTAAATCTTGGAGTAGAAAAACCATATGAAAAGGGATGATTTTATTTTCCAGTCAGATTGCCAAGTCCAGTTACAACCACAGATAATTCCACCAAACATGGAGGAGTACGTGAACAGCCTCCTAACTGCAGTGCTCCCTTCTGTGTTGAACAAATTTCGAATTTACCTAACTCTACTGAGACTGCTGGATTACAGCATATCTGATGAAGTGACGAAGGTATGGAAGATTTCACTAGCTGATTTTCAACTCCATCAGACAGAAAGTGCCTTACTATGTTACTGTACTTGCTCATTTCTCTCCCGGGCAGTGGCTGTTGGAAGTTCTTTAAAAAGGAAGCATTTTATTGTCATGGATATGCGTGCCTTCAAGGGTTTGTACTCACGAGTGCTTCAGTGTACAGAGTTCATACACATCCTGCTTGCTAAAACTCATTTTGAAAATAATTATATTCAAAGATGAGCAAGCCTGTTTTTATCCAAGCTGATTTCCTGACGTTCCTCCTGTAATCTAAGGATAGTTGTGGTGTTTGAATACTGAAGTCCTTTGTCGCCACTTTTGTTTGCTGTACTGTTTATAGGCAGTTGAAGAAGACTTTGTGGAAATGCGCAAGAATGACCCCGAGAGCATAACTGCTGATGACCTGCACAGAACTCTGCTTGTAGCAAGGTGGGTAGTGCTGTTAGTTTGGATGGAAGACTTTGAAGCAAGCTGGAGCCAAACTCATTTAATGCTGACGCTTTAAGGCAGGTGTGTGAGGAATCTTTTTCCTTTGTTTCTGTCAGTATCTTAACCAGGTAGAGTTCATCCTCTGCTTTCCAGTTTCTGAGATACTGATGATTGTTCTTAAGCTGCTTTAGGTTACCAAGTGTGAAACCATCTCCACATTCTTCCTTAACTGCTGTTTCTGCTCGTCCAGGTTCCTGTCCCTCAGCGCGGGGCAGACGACGCTGTCAAGAGAGAGGTGGCTGAGAGCAAAACAACTGGAGGCACTGCGTAAAGCCAGGCTTCAGCAGCAAAAGTGTGTTAATGGAAATGAACTTTAATGTTTTGTGGATGTCATGATAAAAATTTGTCTAATCCTAAATGGAACCCATACTAAGATTGGGATATTGTTTATACCAGTTTTTTTGTAGATAATTTATACCAAGATATTATGGATATTTACCCTTGCAATCTGAACACACTATCTCTGTTCAGCCAGCTAAACATATTTTATGAAATTTTTTTGGAGCCTGTTTTGTAATTGAGAATTGGTAACACTGAGCAAATGATTTGATATTAAAGTTTAATACTGAATTTGTGTAAGCTCATTTCCTTTAACAATAGGAAAATGTAACCCGTTGCCCTTATAGCAGGGGGTAGAGTCTGCTTGGGGATAAGTATGGTGTGATTCTTCAGCTGTGTGAGTTGGAGGAGCAGAGGAGGCTGCTGCTGAGCAGTTTCTGTAAGTTTAACTTTGGGCTTTAGGCAGCCAGGGCTCTGCAAGGTGTGTTGTTGCCCTCTGAGCAGCAGAATGATACTGATTCTAGTGCAGTATGAAGAATCAATTTAAAATTAGCTAAGATTCCAGTATGAAATTCATCCTTACTGTACTTAAAGACAACTCTCACTAACCTACCAGTCCCTCTCATGAGCTTTACACTTCAAGCTATTTCAGAATAACAGGGACAACTGATACTTACATAAGCCACATCTTACTATATTAGTATGTTATTAGTAATGCAGGGGTTTGTATGAATAATATCAATTAAGTACTAAGAATGGTCTCTATCTTATACTGTACGGTTTGCACTGATGGTCACAAGAATCCCCCCTGCCCTAATATGACTTGCAGAACTGGTGGAACAAGGGTGGTTTGAGTGAAATAAATACTGAAGTCATACAGAATAATCCATAAAGATGGTACAAGGGTAGGGCTTCTGCCCCCATGGAGAGCTTAAAGTATATAAATCACAGTTAATTCTAGATAAGACTAAATATTCTTTTGTGAACTTTACGTTAAGCCTAAGCCACCTTACTTTTTGAGTGAGACAGTGTTAACAGGAAGCTGCTAGTTTATTGCATTTTCTGTTCCAAGCACAATGGTAGCTGCACAGCAGAAGCAACTTGAAATTGTTTTTTTTTTGTCTGCAACTTAATGGTACTCGAGTATAAAAAGTTTTTTTTCTACACTTTTGACTTCAGCCAATATTGTTTTTTCAGCTTAAAGATGTGTTTGTCTAAAACCTGGCTCCACTCTGGGGAAAAATGCAAAAATACAGCCTGTAAACGTTCTCTTGATGATGATTTTGTTATGGTACTGTCTCTTCAAGAAAATAAGACAGCTTATAGAAGAAGTGAGCTCCAGTGTGCAGTGTCACACGGCTGCTTCCTCTACTTTCTGAAGCTGCTAGATAAGCTTGGCAACAGCAACAAAGGCTAGTGAAATTTTAAGGTGGGTGTATGGTATGTACACTGGAGAGTGCTGCTCACTTCATAGTGAAATGTATGGAGGGAGCATGGAGAAACCTTGTTTTGGCTGCACAGTTGCAATGAGGTGTTTTGTAGCTTCCTTTTCCTGTTTGCAAAGCCTTTAGAAGGCTAGCCAAGGCAAGGTGAGTTAGTCTTATCACTTTCAGACATGCCCTTGCCTCTGCCTTAGTATCAGGCCTCCTTGAAACTGAAAGCTATTTCAAGCATTAAGAGTATGTTAATGTTTATCACACATTAATTGACAGATTCTGAAAGCAGTTGGATGGTGGGTGCAATCAGCCCCCAGTCAGAGTGGTAGAAGCAGATGAGCTTTAAGGTTCTCCCCACACCCTTCTGTGCTTGTATGAATGCAAATGTTTGCATGGGTCAGTTTCTTTTTACTACCAAAATGACAAAATTTCTTCCAGCTACTACAGCTTTGTGGGAATTCTCCCTCCCCCAGAAGCTATGCAAGTTCTGTGTCATTTTCAGCAGTTTCTTAGGAGCATTTTCTGGATGTATCTATGACTTTTCCCCTTCAGGCTAATGTTGTAGCACTGCAGCTCCAGGAGAAAATGATAAAAGGTCTCTGCCAGATAAAGGGTCAAAGCAACCTACCCCCTCCTTTGAAACTTAACCTTCCAGACTTATATAGTAGCATATACCTTGACAACATGCAAGGAAGCATCTTTGGGTTCTATTTTTTTTTATTAAAATATCTCATATATTGCTTACATTAAAATACAGCAGTAGTTTAATTTTAAATAGAGCCACAAGTATAGACACTCAAAAAATCCCAAACCCACATCACTTCAGTAAAACAAATAAATAAAGTTTCAGACAGTTCAGTTTAGATGAAGATCAGACGATGATCTCAGATGAACAAGTCCTAAGATGCTGTACTAGCCTACCCATGACACTACTTTTAAAAACACCACGTGCAGCCTACCTACAGTACATGGACTAGAACAGAGAGGCACTGGCTCTATAACAGTGGTTAGAGTAGGTAGAGTTACGAACCACAGCATAGCGACATCTGCTTTGGGGTAATGTCCTGCACGAGGATGGCAGTGCAAGGCATTTCTGGGCAGAATAATCTTTTGACACATATATGTGCTGTTTGGTGTTTTTCTTTTAAACCTGGTTCCCAGCATGAGTGGAAGGTTAGCCTTATTCTGCAAGTATGCAAAGCTTGAGCTGGTAATGAATTTGGTTTTGATTAGATGATAAAGACAACTATGCTCTGATGTCAACACTGACTTTATGAAACATTTGCCTTCTGTTTTAAAGGTTACATCTTTCCAGCTGGACAGTTAGAATACACAAGGAGAGTGACAGCATGGGGGGGTCACAATGCTTGAAGTTCAGGTACCTGGCTGGTCTTGTGTTACACTATCTCAAAATGTGAGCGTATTGCCACTACCTAGAATTTGGATAAAGGGTGTGGAACAGCTTTAATCTGGAAAAAAAAAAAATAGAGCATTTGCCTCACTTCCCTTTACCTCAAATCCACAAGATAAATTTGCACTGCAGGATTGTGGATATTTCAGATTGTATCAGGATATCATATCTTTACGGAAAGTGGCCCAGGCAGTGTGGAAAGAAAAGAACAGTGAGAAGTCTTAATTGCTGATTAACGTAATTAAATACAAAAACAAAAAACAAAAAAGCACATTTCTCATTGTAGAGGCACAATTCATAGAAAATTGCATCTAAAACTTCAATGGAAACAAGTAAAAATATTAGTCCAAAAATAAATAACGTGTAATCTACTATTAAGAAGTTATTTTGCTGGTGCAGTGCAAGGTAAGTAAGGTCACAGAAGTGCAGTACAATAACCATTTGAGTATAAATATTCTCCACATAAGTCAGAAGAGCTACAAAATTAATCCCAAAAAAACACCTGTGCAACAGATTTAAGATAAACAGCATGCTTACTAAGTCCCAGTGTCTAAACTACCTGTTCAAACATGATTTACCCTTCTTTTGTCTCAGCTGCCTAAGGGAATTCTGAAGCCAGAACCAAATTCATTTGCATCTCTTGCACTGTAAACAAGTAATCCATATTTTTGATCCCATTATTCATTAGCAGTTAATGCTACAGTGAACTCCAATATAGGGTTCTTGGGTTTTTGTTAGGGTTTTTTTAGGGTTTTTTTTTTTAAGTATTGGTATATTAAAAGCCACAACAAGAAGAACACTCCATTAACAACTAAATTTGAATTATTCGTGTCTGACATTGTGTAAACATTTCTTTCAGTTCTTTTTGTTTGATTTCATGTAGAGCGTCTGATTCTGCAGGGCTCTTCTGGACCTTTGCCACAGCAAAATTAATTCCTTGAGTCAATCCTGCTTGTGTGATGTTTGCAACCTGGACCATGGAACTGCGAATTTTAGCAAAAGGAGATACAGCCCTGCTGCTGCTACTGTCAGCTGGAGAAGGAGTTGTGTGGAGTCCTGTCTCAGGGATACCAGAAGCAGATCCTGGGCTTCTGTGAGATTTAGTAAAGTCAGTCCCATCAACAGCTAAGAGCTGAGGATTTGGCTCAGAAGACTGTACATCCAGCTTGGATGGCCTGGAAGGAATGCCTGTGATAGTTTCAGTCTTGTTTTCTGCTTCCTTACACACATTATTGCTGGTTTCATTTATTGCGTGATGTGGCTCTTGAGAGCAAGTCTCCGACTCCAAAGCATCTGACATTTTATTTTGAGCATCCTGTACAAACCTCTGGCAGTACACATCAATAGGTTTAGCAAATTCCATCTCCGCACTGTCAGCAGAAGGTACAGGTACATCTTCACAGTCAGACTGGTTAGCTTGAGTGACATGAATCTCAGTTGGAACATGGATGCTGATGTTCATATCAGTGCTGCTTACAGACTGGGACCGACTGCCCAGCCGTGGAGCTGAGGCAATGATACCACAGCTAGGCAGCACGTAATCTATCTGCCCTATGTTCTCTAGAGAGTCAGTTAACTGGTTGTCCTCGTCAGATTTAGAATTCGTCAGAAAATCATCTGAGTGGAAAGAATCATTATCTGACATTTCTGTATCAGATTCAGCATGGACTTTAGTATCTGCTGCTGGATTCTCTAAAGTTTCAAGGCTGCTGTCTGATTTCCAAAGATTAACTTTCAAATTCGGTTTTAAAAAATTAACTTTCACTTCAGGTTTGGTGAAGCTGCCTAACTTCCGAAGATTGCTGATGTTCACGTTGGATTTGGTTTGTTTCACTTTCTGATTGAGAGACGAAAACTTGCTGAGTAGGTAATTCTTGCCTTGTGCCAGGGACCCTCTGTTCTGAGAGCGAATGCCAATGATGTCTTCGTGAGGTTTGCTGCTCTTCCTGGAAGAAAAACCAATCTCTAGTGTCCAACTAAGAGCATTTCATCTATAAACACCAAGTATTCACCATTTTCCAGTCTATTTCCATAGAGATTGGCACTTTACATAAACTGTACCCATATAAGCTCATCAAATTAAAAACAACAAGAACAAAGGTGTGACAGAACGGCATTCAAACAAGGCAAAAATACGCAAATAGTTGTAGTTTCAGATGAAACTATTTGATGTCCGTGTCCTTATAATTCC